GTTATTGTCTAGATAAGTCATAAGATGTTGATTGAAAATATTTCTCCACTGAAAAGAGTCTGTATATATTAAGGTTTAATATAGTAACCATTTCTGATTTGATTTAGGCAATATATTTATGTTAAATGATAAAAAAAAGTATTTACAGTAGTATTTATATTTGAAAATTCATTTAAAGGGTAATAATTAAAACTTTCAATGCTTAGACTCTAAAGCAGGTTTTTAAATTTAGTCAAGAAGCCACTTCTACTACAGAAGAATAAAATAACTGAACTTGTTACCTGGTTCTAATTTGTCAGAATGTGTCAGTACTGAATAGGTTCTCAGCAGAGTTGTTGCGGTCTTGGGAGAAACACAAGACAGCTCTTGTTGAGCGTTGTCTGAAATTGTTGTGGCTTAAGAAACAAAGGGGAGCGAATCGTGTGTTGGGTTGGTATTGTTAATGGCATTTTGAGTACCAGGGCTTCTCAAATCAATGTGTTTTATGCTGCCAGCCATTGAGGGGGTGGGAAAGCTGAAACTGATGTGGAGGAGTAATCTATGAATTTGTGCTCCTGTTTCAGCTGATGGCGTTGCACTGGGTGCAGCAGCTTCTACTTCTCAGACCAGTGTCCAGTTGATTGTGTTTGTCGCGATTATGTTGCACAAGGTAAGTCACTGTCCAAAAAAAAAAATGTTAAAGCGTACAGAAATCACTAAATCACTAAGTTTTCTTAGTGGTGTAATCTGGAAGTGTCACGCCACTGAAATGATCAGGGTAACAGTACATCTTCAAGGTCCAAGAAGCACTGGTATGATGTAAGATATAATGGCAAATGATGGATGCAAAGTCTGAATGGGGAGTTCTGACTGCCTGCTGCCTGCTTGGGTTGCCGTGGTTGGGAAAGGTCTCACAGAATTAGAGAAGAACAGCTCATGAAGAAATGTGGCAGCCTCACACTGACTTTTTCTGAAGCTAGTGTGGTGTTGTGAGATTATTTTTGTTTTCTTTTTAAACTAAAAAAAACCTCCAAGATTCTTAATGCTGGGAAAGATGTATTCAGAGAAGTTCTAGAGGGTGAAGCACAGAAATACATGCTAGTGTATTCAAGGAGGAAAGGCAGTTTTATACCCATTACACCAGATTTCTGGCTCCGATGTTCTTAAGAAAATAGGAAGGATATTTGTTATAAAGGGGTTTAGTGTTTGAAGGGCGAGTCTTGTGAAACCATATCAGAGTATTACGACTGCTGATTACCTCTGTTACTGTAGTAACTTCAGTATCAGCCTTATGTCATTTCTGCAGAAAACAGAAATTAAATGTTTTTCTGATCATAAGCAAACAATGGCCCTTGAAGATGAGATCTTTTTCCCTTAATGTTTGCGCAGAGCTATCTATTAGCTGTATAGGTTCTAAACATGTATGCAGATGCATATTTGACTTATGGTAGCACGTGCACATATTACAGCATGTAAAAGAAACCATTGCTTGCATAATTGCTTGTTCAAAAACTGCTTGCATAATTGCATATTCAAAATGTTAGGAAATCCAGATCTAGTGTGTGTTTTCTTCACTGTTCATACAATAAATTGTGGTTTACGCAATCCTCTTCAGAGGTGGCAATGTCAGTGTTGCATCTTGCTGTGAAGCTCAGTTAATGGCTATTGCCAAGTGAAACTTGCTTTTTATTAATCTTAATGATCAATTAACTGACTTCTGAAATGGTGCCATTTTAGAAGAGGAAAATTTATCCTATGAAAGACTATGAAGAAATATTTGGTATTGAAAGAAATTTTATTTACTCATCTCTTTTTTGATCTTTTGATCTTTTTTTGATCCTGATTGATGCTTTTGTCTTTCTCATCTTTTTTTCCTTCACTCATGGTTTCCTTCTAGCTTTAAAACCAAAATTGTGTATAAAAAAGTGCCCAATATATTTTAGTTTGTCTTATCTCAATGTCAGGGTGGACTGCTATTGTATTTAAGTGAGCAAAACTACAGTAAATTCTGTGTGTAGTGGGACAGCTATGCCTTGTGGTTAAGAAACTGGATGCCAGCAGAGGGAGAAGGAAGTATTTGTTTGCTTCCCAGTGGGAACAGAAATGAAAATGATGAACTGATCAAAAGAGCACTTAAGTCTTTGTTCATGTGCAGGCTGACAGTTACCTTCCTTTGGGATTTTTTTTTCCCCACTCCATGCTAATTGTAGAATTTCCCCGTTGGAGATAAAGAAGCTGCCCATCTGAAGGTGCACAGTGGTATCAGGAAGAGAAAAGGAATTGCATAAGTTAATGGAAACTTAGAGATTATAGCGAAGACTAAAGTCAGAATGAACACTTCAGTATTTGTCATGACTACACAAATGTGTGTACTCTGATAGCCAGAACCTGAGTTTCCATTAGGTACTGTTACTAAAGTAAGGTGCTCTGCAGAACTCTATTGATTTGGGTTACCTGCAGCACACTAATGCTCTCCCTGAACTTCTTCCAATTGAGCACATTTCAGTGTAAGTTGCATTTCAGCTTTATCTCACATTTCAGGGGATTCCAGGAGGTTTTGTATTAACAGTGAATATTGGTTTTTTGCAGGCACCAGCTGCCTTTGGCCTGGTTTCCTTCCTGATGCACGCTGGGCTGGAGCGGAATCGAATTAGAAAACACTTGCTGGTCTTTGCATTAGCAGCACCTGTTATGTCGATGGTGACGTACTTAGGGCTAAGCAAGGTAGGTCTGTGATTCTGTTCTGCCCAAAACGTAGCTTAGTGGTGAAGTGGAGGGAAAGGAATATCATCTGAGTTTCATTGAACAAACTGCTTGAAGTATTGGTCAGAATGGAGGTCTTTTTTAAATGGTGGATTAAAAGGTAACAATATGAATGTGTGAAACAAAAAGTAACCCGTGCTTTCCATCAGAACCAGTGATCTGACTCCTTCACAGAGTTTGTATATATTTTTATTTTTTAGAAGGCTGATTTCTGTCTTTTCTCTTTTCTGTTGCTCCCTGCTGAGAACTATTTACTCATATACCACATTTTATCTGATGACTAAATAACTGAGTAATTTTCAGTGTTGCTGCATGCGTTCTTATTTTAATATGCAGGTAGAAAATAGGTTTCGCTAGTTTCTCCCACCATCCCAGAATTGCTCCTATATGTTCAAAGTCTCTCTCACGCTGTGTCAGAAGCTGAATCCTCAGCTAGAGCAGCCTTTTTGCCTCTTATACTCCTTAAAGTCATGTCTTGGCTCTGTGTAACCAGTGGCGTATGAAATGGGCTCACTACACATGAGTTTATCATCGCTGTTCAAGTGTTTCTGCTTCTCATAGCATTTCCTGTGACACTCCTGTATTTAACTGCTGTGGGCCATGCTGGTAACACACTACGATGTTGTGTCCTAAGGAATCTAACTTGTGATCTCATGAAACTCAAGGCATGAGAGGAAAGTTAAGTAAATCATCTGGGCTGATCCCTTTCCTTGCCCAAAAGGAGTTCTGTATACTGCAGTACAGGAGACAGCAGAAAAGGTTGGGTTTGTAAATAGAGATGAGAATGCTGTTTGAACATTCTTGTGATGTAGGCGTTTTGTGCTTCAGAAGAACGGAGGATTGGTAAGGCAAAAGAGTTTGTCAATCTTAGTCCTAGTATGAATGAGAAGAGGTGCTCAGTTTTAATCCAGAAGGTATTCTTTGCAAAGCTTGCATGGAAATTCTGGAAAGCTTTGGGTGTTTACTTGTACATACAAATGAAATATTGAAAGTGATGATTTGGGACTTAAACATAGCAAATCTCGATCTGACCAGCAGGGGACCAGATTTAAAGGCTAACATCTTATTTGAGCTCTTTGCTTAGAAAAAGGAAGAAAAAGTCAATCTTGAGCGTCCTTCCTAAAATGTGTGGCTTTGCAATCTGAATTTTATTTCTTTCGAAGCTCATTTTGACACCTTGTGTGTTGCTGGGAGATGGTCCAACAAGATGTCTCTGCACAGACTGGGATGTTTTTCTTCTGTAAGGGTTCTTAGACGTCTGAAGTGAACTAATGAGCATGACGGGTGCCTTTCTGCCCCCATCATCAACTTTAGAATGCCAGTTGCTACACATAATGTGCAAGACATAATTTACTAATCCATTGTCATTGTGAGGGAACAAGAGTTGATAGAAATCCTACTGTGTCTGGACACTTATATAGATTATTTTATTTTAATTATTGATTGAAGAACTTCTGCTTATCCTGATTTTTTTGTTCTTTCTGTGTTTTTTTCCGTTTCAGAGCAGCAAAGAAGCCCTTTCAGAAGTCAATGCCACCGGAGTTGCTATGTTGTTTTCCGCTGGGACTTTTCTTTACGTTGCCACAGTTCACGTCCTCCCAGAAGTAGGAGGAATTGCCCATAGCCACAAACCTGAATCAACTGGAGGAAAAGGACTCAGTCGCCTGGAGGTGGCAGCCCTAGTACTAGGGTGCCTTATTCCTCTGGTTTTGTCCATTGGGCATCATCACTAAACACTCGAATTTCACGGTTCTCCTCCTCGGTCTGACATGAGCAGTAAATGTTGGCTGCTCCCTTTATCATTGTCTCTTACCCGTCATCCATCCCATCAACATCATGGAGTTCAGAGGAAACATTGATTGCAAAATGAAGAATACTGGGAAAGTTTTAGTGTAGCAAAATATACTTTGGCAGCCAGACATAAACTCTATGTAACTTTCTTTTCTGAAGACATTTGCTATTTTAATTGTTATTTCTGGCCCTATTCTCAGGGAAGATGGAATTTGAAGTTTAAGAAAGGTGAGCGGGGAAGAACATAGCGACTCGTCGTGAAATCGCAATCACCAAAGTATCCTGCACTTCAGCTTTCGCAGCTGAGAGTAAAAGCAGAGGATGTCTGCCCTGTGAGAGACTGGAGTCTTACTAATGAAGAAGGGGACTCTCCCCCATCGGTTCCATGTTGTCCTGACAACGCAACTGGTCCTTGTGATGTTTGTCATGAATTGTCTTGCAAAAATGGGCTGCACTTGGAGTTCTGGGCAACGCTGCTGTTGTCACAGAAGTGTCGCTGATAGGAAAGAAATGATGGAGACAAAGCGTAGCACTAGAGAGGAAATCAGCTGGTTGAGAAAGTGCAACAATTTTTGCAGTGTATTCTGTTATTTAAGACTAAGGATAGAAGCAAGGAGACTATTGTTTTGATTGGTTGTGCAATGGTTAACACATTTTTTTAAAGGCAGTATTTCTTGGGAGATCATCTCCTGCCAAGTCAGTAAAGTGTAGGCACCAACAATGTTTCAGGAATTAGGTACTGGGTACTGTGATTACACTGCTGCTGCTGCTGCGGGAGATGTCTATAGTGTCCTTTGGCATTGAGCTGTTTTGGGCTCTGAGGAGTAGAAATGGAATGGAGGCAGCTGTTGAGGGACCAGAAACTTCACTAGCTTAGTTTCAAAAGTAAACTGCTGAAATCAGTGTGTGGGGGGGTGTTCATTAAATAAAAGGTATTAAGGCTAACAAAACAGATGTTTAGTTAAATATTTATGCTGTAGATAGAGTACAAAGTGTTTCTAAAGCAGTCCTAAGCAAAAAAAAAACCAACAAACAGAAAAAAAACCACACTGGTGTGTTCCCAGCAGACCTGTTGGGCATTTTGCTTGTCCCATGGGAATTCTGCGTTTGCCTCTTACTGATAAGCGTTAGTTTGGGTGAATCTACTGGAGGCCTTGCTGCCAACTGCCGATGCCTCTTACTGCAGAAGAGTGGCAGAAGATCCCTCCCTTTCCAAGGCACAGCCCTCTCGTCAGGCACAGTTTCTCTTATGCAAAATATATTCTACTCTAATAACTGTAGTGCATTGAGAAGTCAGGAATGCTTGACGTGCACAGACTTAACATGAAATTTTTCCTTTAGGGGAAAACTTTTTAATGCTGTACCCTTTTTAAGCTATACTCTGCACTTTTTAAAGATAACATTGCCAAATATATTTTCCTTTTGATTTTTTTTTAAAATCTATTTTCAAGGCTTGAAATATCTTCTTAACTGAAGTGCTTCTTGTTTCCATTTGAATGAGTATGTCTGATTTTCATGCCATTTATTACTTATACTACACAGGCCATTGTGCCTCAACTTCTTTCCATTGTCCTGTTTGTCTGCTAGGTCAGTGACAGGGATGGCCTGGCTCTTGGATGAGCGATTGCTTTGCTGTTGGCTTTGTAACGCTACAGGATTGAACCGAGTATTGATCCCCAGGAGTCCTCCTTCATTTATGTTTTGCTGTAGAAAATCTGTGCAAAGTTACTAGAAATCATCTTGTCCAACAAGACAGTTTAGATATTCTGTCTTTCGGATAGAATTAGTGTATTGAGCCTAAACAAGCACTTTTTGCGTTAGACCTTCAGAAGTTCGTTTTGTTCTGAAAGGCCACTGCAAAATTTGTGGCACGGATGAGATCCCCTCCTGTGCATCCTTAAATGTTGCTTTTTTGGTTTGATTATTTTTTTTAACAACATACATACGCAACTAACAAGTTATCTATTTAAAAAGTCCAGTGGTACAGGTTACCGACACATGCACATGGTACACAGGGATGTTTACACCAGAGCTCCCAGTGTTCTTCCTGATTTCCCTCTCATTACCTTCTTCCTCGATAACGTCACTACTTAATCTTTCCACATCGCTTTGTCCAAAAGCTGAGGAGTTCGCAAGAGCTGCGGCAGAAGCAGGGGATAGCTTAGTGCAGCATCAGAGGCGTGCGTTTCGTAAAAGAATACTTTCTTATTTATTTAAGTTATCATCGGTTGCTCGGACGTGCACCCCAGCTCCCTAGTTCAGCTGGCACCCTGGCTGTGTTCCACGTCAGCCTCAGTTCGTGTGTGACAGTTGCAACGGTTTAGGGACATGCGTAGGTAAAGTCCCATTTCTCGCCTGTTGTTCCCGTGTTGGAGCATGGGGGTAGGACCTGCTCACACGGCTGAGCCTGTACTGATGAGTGTGACAGCCAGCCTGTCCCTGCTGGCCCTCTGATCACGTTTCCAGTTTCTGGGGCAGCCACCAGAAATTGTAATACTCAGTGTAGTGATTCCTGAGCTGTAGAGGCCAAGCTACAGCCCCAGGTGAGGGATTTGAAGTGAAAACATTGGCAATTTAAAATTGTCACGAGTTGTGATGACACGTACCTTTCATTTTGGCACTCGGTGAGGTGACAGACGACTTCCGTGACTTTTTTTCCCTCCCTGCCTGTTTAGAAGCAGCAGAGACATTTTCTTTTGGCTGTCTCTGTTATCTCTGTGTCAAACTGTTGTTTTCAGATCTGTAGCTGAAACTGCAGTGACTAAGGAAGCTTTTGGTTATGTGATAAAGAGAATATAGAACTTTAAATGGTCAAACCGTTCCAAACTGTTAGTTCCACATGGAGGATTATTTTCGTGAGGCAGAGTATTTTAACGAGTTGAATACGATAAAATGTATCATTTTATTCCTTCTTTTCACCTATCTACCCATCTGTCACAGTGATTCAAAACACTGCATGTAGTCAGGGCCATCTGGTGTCATTTTCTGCTCCTCAGGGGGCCTTGGTGCAAACAGATCTCACTGTAACAGCCACCTCTGCCTGTGTGTTCTGCTCTGAGGTAGGGAGCTGCAGGTCTAGCAGGTATCACTTTAACCGAGTGCCAGGCACGTCCCCCTTTCCTTCTGTAAATCCCTCTAGGAAATCTATAATCTTCTCATCAGCTGTTTCTTTGGTTAATGATTTCTTAATTGGTGATAGGAGTAGGATGAAAGCTGTTTCCATTGATCCCGGTGTATTCGGGGACATTCTCTGCTGTTCTAATTCTTTTATTATTCCTTACCTAAAGAAGGGAAATAACTCATTTTCAGCGCCAGGTGCAGAAGCTGCGCTGACATTGAGGATGACAGAGCTGTCACACCAAGACAGGGGTTTTTGATAGTTGTGGCATGTCAGACGGGTGGGTGTTAACGCAGAACCCCACTGGTGGCTTCACTGAACCATTTCCAGGTGGGTTGTGTGAAAGGCTGGTGTTATCCAAGAGACCCAGGGAAACTGCTGTGTTTATTCAGAACTAGTTCAGTGCTTCCGAGGAGCTTCTGACCGTAGCAGATGTGTCCATGTGGCATCATCTCCATGCAGGGTAAGAGAGAGGTGCTGTGGAATAAATGCTGGTGTGCTCCCTTCCCGTTCTGTGCTGGGACTTGGGAAGAGGAGGAGGGAAGGGTGTTTGTATTTTGGGGGTGGGAGGAGGAGGAGCGGTTGTGGTATGGTGGGAAAGTTTATGATGAATTTCAGATTCCTGTTCACCTCAAACTTATTTTAAAAATAAATATTTTCTTTTTTTTCTTACTGTCCTTTTATCGCATCTCTTGGCTTTCCAGGGAAAATCTTACGTGGTCATTGCTGTTTACCTGACTCCATGTATGGAACTGTAATTTTAATGTCTCTATTTCCAAACCATTTGTACACAAAATCATTCCATGAATGGCTGCCTTATAATTTTTTTCCACTTTAATTGTGAATGGTTAAAAAAAATAATGTTGCCGTTTTCAATTTGTTTTATTATATTAAATTTTTACTAGGTGCAGTGCTTCGCAGTTGGCTTGTCATTTACTGCATGGCTTTTTGTGACAGCTCCCACAACGGGAAATGACAGTCTTAAAGGGGATGCAAGTGGTGCAGACAGCACAGCTCATTTCTGTACGAGCGTTTGCTTCTCACGACGTGGAAACCTGAAGTGTGAAGCTGCACGTTGGGAGGCAGGCTCACAGCTCGATTTGGACACGGGTATGAATGGGTTTGGAGGCACAAATACAGGAAGGATTTCTATTCTGTCTCCTGTGGAGTGTTCAGGAGTTGGCACTGCCCTGAGGAGCTCTCTTCCCTCACCTCTAGGGAAACCTCTGAAGTTTACATGGCAGACACCTCCTGGGAGGGCTGTAGGGGGCTGGTTGGCTCCAGAGTGCTCCAGGCCGCTGCTAAAAGGCTGGAGGACACTTTGGGGCTAAGGGATATTGAGAGCACGGGATGGAGGGAGAAACCCCAAAACGCCAACACCAAGTCCCTCCGTTCTTTTTGGAGGCTTTGTGACAAAGTAGCCTTTCCTGCACGGATGTGCCTCTGTGTGTTTCCGATTAAAAGCCAGCTCTAAATACGGATGCAGAGATGTGAAACCTGCTTTTTGTTCTTTTGTTGGGGGGGAGAACTGTTGCTGAAATCTTTCACGCTCCTGATCTGTGTGTTGTTTGGGGTTTTTTTTTTTCTTACCTTCCTGCTGTTTTCAGGCACCGATTCACAGCTCAGCTCTGTGACCGCTGTGTGATCCTCCTGCGTACAGGACACTTCAGGCTGTACTTTTAGACTTGACAGGGTTTATTAAAAGATGCTCAAAAAATCCAGTGAGTTGCACGTTGTGCTGTGGTTGTAGAAGGGCCAAACTTTTCGTATAAAACACTGAATTTCTTTCGTTTTTTTTAGAGATGTGGCTTTAAAAAAGAACGG